GCTGTCTTTGATCTTCCTCAGTGCTTCTACTCCTCTTTGAGCAAGCATGGTTGTGCCATCTGGATATTGCAGGTTAATGTCTCCCTCCAACACCAGTCCTACACTCTTATCCATATACTCGTTTTTCTTTTTCCTTTATTTTTAAAATCATTTTATTGGGGGCTCATACAACTTTTATCACAATCCACGCATACATCCATTGTGTCGAGCACATTTATACATTTGTTGCCCTCATCATTCTCAAAACATTTTCTTTCTACTTGAGCCTTTGGTATCAGCTCCTCATTTTTTTTCTTCCTCCTCCCCCTCTTTCTTTTATTAAGTCTTTATTGGGGGCTCTAGCTCTTATAACATTCCATACATTGATTGTATCAAGCATACTTGTACATGTTGCCATCATAATTTCCAAAACATTTTCTATTTGAGCCCTTGATATAAGCTCCTCTTTTTTTCCCCCTCACCCTCATGAACCCTTGATCAATTATATATTGCTATTATTTCATCTTACATTGTCTGTTGTCTCCCTTCACCTGCTTTTCTGTTATTTGCGCCCTTCCTGGTGGTGGTGGTGGAACTATATATCCAATCTTGTGATAGGTTCCCCTTTCTCACTCTTGCCCCTCCCTGACCATCCCTCTACCCTCATATCGCTACTCTCATTATTGTCCTGAGGGATTTATCTGTTCTGAATTCCATGTGTCGAGAGCTTTTATCTGTACCAATGTGTGTCCTCTGGTCTAGCCAGATTTGTCAGAACTGGGTCATGGTAGGGGTGAGGAAGTATTCAAGAACTAAAGGAATGATGTGTGACTCATCAGTGCTACATTACACATTGGTTGAATCATCCCTTCCTTATACCACTTCTCTGGGGGGATATTCAATTATCTACAGATGGGCTTTGGGTCTCCACTCCAACCCTGCCTCTTTCACATTGATATAGTTGTTTGTTTTGGATCTTTTGATACCTGATGACTGATCCCATCGACACGTCACGATCACACAGGCTGGTGTGCTTCTTCCACATGGGCCTATTTGCTTCCCTGCTAGATAGCCACTTGTTTGACTTCAAGCCTTTAAGACCTCAGACACTATGTGTTTTGATAGCCAGGCACCATCCACTCTCTTCACTGCAGTTGCTTATGCATTCATTTTGTCTTCAGTGATGGTTTTGGGAAGGTGAGTATCAAAGATTCCAGGTTATTAGAACAAAGTGTTCTTGCATCGAGGGAGTACTTAAGTAGAGGCCCAAAGTCCATCTGCTATTGTAATACTTATCATATAAATATATGTACGTTAGCCTCTATCCCTTTCGTTATAAATTAATATGTTTACATATATACATGCATATAGTTACACCTCTATAAATAGCTATTTCTTTCCTCTATTTCCATTCACTTCCCTCCTATCCCACTACCATGCTCACCCTCCATTCAGCTCTCAGTATTTCCTCTCGGATGCACTGATCTTGATCAAGCCCCACCCAACATTATATGCCCACCTCACCATCATTTTTAGATCTCTTTTTCTGAGTTTACTGGCTCCCCACTCCCCATCCCTGCCCCCTCCTCTCCCATGTCCCTCTAAAACTGCTGATACCATAGTTTTCTCCTCAGGATTGTTTGTCCTGCCTATCTTATATAGACAGACATATACTCCAGTTTTTCAAATTATTTGCTTAGCATACAGATCGAGTAGGTATGGTGAAAGGCTACAACCCTGGTGCATACCAACAAAAGGTGTTGGTAGTACTGTGACATGAAAGAACATTTTGGAATTCAATCAGGCCATTATTCTGAAAAGATCATTGGAATCATCCAGATGATTAAGAACAGCATTATTGCTAATTAATACTAATTTATTGAAATATAACAGAACATGGGCTATCGAATAGTATGGTTGCTGAAACAAAGCAGACCCTTGTGTGGTCATAAGGGAGTGTGAAATGAAAATGCTGGCATGGGTGTTGCTGGGAGACAAGGAGGTAAGGCAACGGCACGATGGTGATGCTGTACTGGCGAGTATTTATTTCCAGGTTGGGGTGTGGTGGTTAGGGTTTAATTTTTTGACTACTTTCTTTTCCAAATCTGTATAGCAAGCATCTATCAGGGGCAACAAATTAGAGAAATTACATTTGGGATACTGAATACACAAAGTAACAAAGGCCAGACCACATAGGGCAGTAGAACTGTCTGACCCACAGCCTCTGTAGCAACTAGCCAATACTGGTCAAGTCTTGGTCACAACTGCCAGACTAAACTGGAGAAAGCCAAATAAGTGCCCCAAACCAATCACGTGACAGCCCCCCCCCACTTTTTTTTGGTTTATGCAACTTTATCAAAGAAAAATAAATCAGTTACTAGCAGAGCGATTCGTTGATCACTGTGACATCCTCTTCTAAGCCCGAGTCCAGCTTCCCTTGCCAACAACGTCCAGTCAAGGAACACCCGAAGCCTTCCCTCTGCTGGCACTTCAAACACTTTACTGTACCTTTCCTCTCCCTCTCCTGCCTTTAAACTTCTCAGTGCAATTGATACTGCTCTCTTGCTACCGCAAGCTTTCAGTCACTAGTCTTTGTCCTCATTTGGATGTCATCTATCTTTGCATTTGCATTACTGTAATTGAGAGCAGAAGGCAGCTGCAAAGAACATTAAGACAAAAATAAAGAACTTATCAAAATACCGAGTAGTCAGGAACGGGGAAAACTATTTCTACGTCTCACTTCTCTTAAGATGGCTGACTCATAGTGGTCCTATGGGACAGAACTGCCCTGTCGTTCTTGAGACTACATCTTTACGGGGATCGAGGGCCTCACCTTTCTCCTGCAGCCACTGGTGAATTCGAACCACTAACCCTGGGTTAGCAGCTCACTTTGTAGCCTACTGCACCACCAGGGCTTCCTTGTTTCTACTTAGCCCACCTTTTTTGCCATAAATGTGTAATCCTTTATAATTTGTATGTGTATACATATGTATATGTGTGTGTGCACATTGTCTTAGAAATTTTAAGGATGACTTGGCATAACTATATCACTTGGTAAACAATTAAATATGTATTATATACTTATAAAAAGATCTAAAGCTTTAATTTACATTATCCACGTGCATTGGATGCTTATCTCAGGGTGACTGGTTACTAGATGAAAGTACTACTAGAGTTTTGTCATTCTTTTCTACGTGAAAAGGCTTGGAGTCTCTTTTTCAGTCCTCTGTTTAATTTCCCCTGGTGCATTTACAGGTTTATACGTCAGCGTCGTATTTCAAGCACTTATCCAAACTCTCAGGTTCCTTCAAACTTTAAAAGGTGATCACCATGCAGCTAGGATTTCAAAAGGCCAATGTGTTGGGTTTACGTGTGTGTCTACGTAATTGCATTGGGCCTAACAGCACAGCCGTGGGGGCAAGTCCTTTGAAGTTGGTTGAAATTATGACAAGCATGTGGGCACTTCACGTAAATGAACTAGTACTGACCAATCTTTTTTCAAAGAACGGAAACGATATCGGTTCCGTTTCTTTGATGTCATTTTGCGGCATTTATTGAGCAGGTAACATAAAGGTTGTGAACAAAGTAAAATCATGTAGAGCGTCTGCTACCTCAAAAGCCAGCCGTAGTCTGCATAGCAAATTCATATAGCCCTGAGGCGCGACTGATGACAGATTGGCTGCAGGTGGGCAGGAATCGCCTTTCTGGGGTGATAGCACACCCACAAAACCAAACTCCCTGCATGCGTTGTCCCCAAGACCCATGCTGTGAACCTTTATGGAGGCCGATGGCCACATCTTTTCCCACCGAGCTAGGGGACAGAAACATTCTGGAACTGGATTGTAGTGAAGGCTGCACAGCTGTATTAGTTTACCACGGGGCTCTGGGCAGGGCTCAGGAGAACGCGGTGGTACAGAAGCCATCTCAGTAAAGTGGATACATTAAAAGCAGAATGGCCACAGAGATATTCTTTCACCAGAGCTGGAAGCAAGGGCGACTCCGTGTCCTATGAAGTGAGGGCCCTGGGCGCTCCGACTCCCTCTCACACAGCCGGGGCCTTCCTTGGCCCCTTGTGTTCCCTCTGCCAACTTCTGCAGTGAACTCGGAGCTGGGAAGGGAACCGTTGTTGGGGGAGGGGAGGTGGTGTCTCCTGTCGCAGGTCAGCACAGGCCCAGCCCAGCCCAACCCAAAGGGGCCCCTTGCCTGTTCCCTGGCTTCTGGGCAGGGGAGTAAGTGTGGCTGAGCCCCTGAGCTGCCTAGGGAGAAGCTTGCGGCCTCCCCCTAGTGCTGGGGGAGTTCCTTAGGCACCATCCACGGCCTGCCTTCTGCCCCTCTCTGAGGTTTATGAAGGCATCGAGCACAGTGTGATTTTGAGCAAGTGAAATGAATGAAGCTCTAGCTGGACCTGAGGGAGGGGTGTGCTTTTGCGGTTGACGGGGAGGATGAGGAAGATGAGGAGCTGAAGGCCCACGCAGCTCTCATTTCTTGCCTCATTCTCCTCAGTCTGTGGCCCCTGCATGGACTCCAGCTCACAGGCTCCTGGAGAGCGGGTTCACCCCATGTGGGGCCTGACAAGCACACGACCCTCTTATCTGATGCCAAGTGGCAAGAAGGGACGCTGGGATGCACAGCTGCAGGGAAGTGTCCTGTGAATGGAGGAGGCCAGTGTGGTCTGGCCACTGCGCCTGCACTCGATGGCAGTGGGTACAGGTGGCAGAGAGCGTTGGCAGGCAAGTGTCAGGCAGATTGGAGACTATACGGTGGGTGGTCCAGGCTCCGGGGTGAGGGTGGGCTTTCCTGCTGCACAGAGGAAGCTGGGGGAGGATGGGCCTCTCCTGCTCCAGGGGCTCAGGAGACCCTGGGCCTGGGAGTCCATCTAAGGCAACTGGGCCTGTATCGCCCTTTCTTTCACTTGCAACTCCTGCTGCTTTGGGGAGACCTGGAGGGGTGCATCTCTACAGAGAGAATGGACAGAGGGAGGAGAGGGAAGGACACCAGAAATGAGAGCCCCCCCCCGCCCCCCCACCGTCTGCAGCCTGGGCCAAGTCACGGCCGCAGAGGTCAGCCAGAAGCCCCAGCCTGTTCCTGGTCACTGGATGTGCTGAACTGCCTCTCCACTTTCTTTTGGTCCTTGATCTTGAGCCCAATGTCCACCCTCTTCTCAAAGAAGTTCACCAGCACGGACTCCGTCAGGACAGAGGCCAGGATCTGCTCAAAGGAGATGCACCAGTCGGCGTCAACGGTGCCCTCACAGCGGGCAGCTGCCACGTGACTGCTGACCTCCCCGCCCACCAGCACCGTGTCGTCCAGGAGGTCTTCACACTGCAGGGAGCCCGTGCTGACCACCGAGTAGGAGGACATGGACATGTCATCTTTGGTTTCGTCATCAGACAGAAGCTGGGAAGGCGAGCCCTGGCCCTCGCCGCTGCCCCCTTCGCCCACCACCTGGCTCTCCTGGGGCCCTTTCCCAAGGTGGGTGTCTCCGCCGGCTTTGGCCTGCGGGTCCTCAGCAGCCGGGGGCTGAGGCTCCCAGGCTGGGTCCTGATGAGGCTCAGATGCTGGGGACTCCTCTGGGGTGGTCCGGCTGTGGTCCTCGCCACAGGCACTGTCCCTGAGCTTCCTGCTGGCCCGGATGGAAAACTTCTTCCCAACCTCCCCGATGCGGAGGAGGAGGCTGGCCACCGTGGCGATGGCGTGGTACAAGTCTTGCTCCATGGGATCTTCGCTGAACATGTTGTACAGCGTCTTGCACAGCTCAATGAACTGCTCCTGTGTAGGGGCACAACCGAGAGAAGAGGGGCCTGGTGAAGGGCGGGGCAGGCGCACCCCTGCCCGCCACGCGGACGGTGCTGCCGCTCCAACCAGTCCTGTCCTGCTGCCCCCACAAACCTGGACCTGGTTCTTCCCATCTCACGGGGCAGGAAAGTGAGGCCCAGAGTGGGAAAGTAAATCGACCAGTGTCACCTAGCCCTTCAAAGGACTGTCTTAAAATGGCAAGCAAGCTTGGGAAAGGAATGTGGGGACAGTGAAGTCCTCGCAGTGTCAGGGGCTCTGAGTCTGTGTGACAATTCCTTAGAAGGGGACAGAGAATGACCACAGTGCCCAGCATTTTCTCTCAAGAGGTGGGGAAGCAGGAGAGCAGGCAGACCCTCGTGTGCCGTGTTCATGGAAACCACCTCTCCTTGGCGTCTTTCCATCAGGGAGCACACATGATGGCGCACACATGGAGCACACATGATGCCCGGCCGGAAAGGAAAAGGAAGCTCTGGGCCGGGGCTGACACAGAGAAGCCTGGCACCACAGGACACATGTCCCCCGACCTCCCTCTGGCGCGGGTGGCTGTCTCAGACTGGTTAGGAAGAGGCTGGGAAGCGGCACTGAGGCTCCAAGGGCGATGGGGACAGTTGGAAGCAGACTGTGTTGACGGTTACAGGACACGCCATGGAGTCCTGATGTGGCAAATGCTTTGTCATACATCCCCAGCCTTTCTCTCTGCACCTTGAGCTGCACTGAATCCTCTCAGGCCTTTTGTGTTTGCAGTCAGAAGCAACTTTAGCTTTGCTGCCCGTCAGGGAGGCTCTCTGGAGGGCCGGAGCATAGCCTGGGCGGGAGTGGGGAGTTCCCTCTGTACAGATGTGCAGGCAGCAGGGTCCTGGCCTGCGGTTAACTGCCTGCAGTCCAAGTCCAGGGTCTGCCGTGTCCAGGGTCTGCCATTTCTGGTAGCGACACCTGGGCAGACAATGAACCTGAGTCTGGAACCAGTGAATGGGCAGCCGCCCTCCCTGGTTGTGCAGGGGCTCTCGGGCCGGAGTCGGGCTATGAACGAACTGGTGAACCGATGTTCCCAGGGCTTCTCTAGGCCTTGGGCGTGGGTTTAAGCCAAGCTTGTAACCATGGAGACACCACCTGTACCTTACCCTGTACTTAGCCACCGTCAGTCATGCTCACATCACAGCTGATGGACGGATGGCCTTGGTCCTGCGGGTCATGGGGTTGGGAAGAAGGTCTCCCCTGCAGGAAGGGGCTGGGAGTGGGTGTCCGGTCCCAGGCGGAGCCTACCTGGTTCATCTTGGGAAGGTCCTTGAGGGTCTCCTTCTGCGCCTCCTTCTCCTTGGCCCACAGGCGGAGGTAGTGCCGGCAGTCCTGGGGGCTGGTTCCCTTCTCCTCTGGGGGGTGAGAAGAGAAAGGTTAATCTGGGTCCCTAGAGGGGTCAAGAGGGTGGGGGTAGCGGGGGAGAGGTGGGCCTCGCTGCTCTCAGGTAGGGCGGGACCTCACATGTGATAGTCTCCAGCATTGGGAGGATGGTGTTGAAAAAACACCCAGAAGACCCTTGGGCTCCCGAGTTTCACTGATGAAGATGGTGCCCTCCCTAACGTGGTTGTAGGACCACTCAGAAGCATGGAGGGGGTACGGCCTGGATGGGATGATGCTGGCCGAACGTCAACGATGGAGGGAGTGTGGCCACCACCCCTCTTGTGATGACACATGGGGGCTGATGGAGAGCTGCACCTGGGGGGGCAGCTGCTGTGCTGGGCCAGCCTGCTCGCGCCCTGGAGGCACTCCCAGGCAGCCAGAGGCAGGGTGCCATCTCCCCAGGGAAGGTGGTTCTGCAGGCACCTCTGCTCTCAGGGGCCCTCGTACTGCTCGCTGCCACAGCAAGGCCTGTACCTCCTTTTTCCTGGGCGTCCTCTTGCTCTACTTGCAGGAGTGCTTCTGGAACACCGGAAAAAGAAGAACAAACGAACACCCCTCTTGCACATTGGGCCCACGGTCTCGACACAGGGCTCGGTGACGCGGCCAGTCCTCCGGCCATGCCGCGGTTCCTGTCATGAATGTAACCCCCGCCCCTAAGGCTCCCATCTAACTCTTCAAGTTGTTCTTGCCAAGTTCATCCCAGACAGACAGTTCTTTAAAAAAGCATCCTGCTCACGGCAGATAATTTTTCTTATTAATTAAGCTACACTTCTGTTTGATTTTTAAGAAGACTTTTGGGGATATTTTTGATTTCAGGTTTAGGGATGACTTCAGGGCAATAGTTTTGGGGTTTCAACTAGCCTCCCCGGCTGCAGGCAGTCTGGAAGCGGCCATGTCTTCACCTGACTGCACTCAACGCAGCCCCTGTCCCTGCCCCACTTCCTCCTCTTTTTAGCCGGAGCCAAGGCTGACGACTGGGGTTTTGTGGCTTGGTTTTGTTCTTCCTGTCTGCCTTGGTCTGGATGCTCCACTGAAAACCTGCCTACCATGGGTGACCCTGCTGGGCAGTATGGACAAGAACCAGTGGTTTCTGTGGGTGACCCTGCTGGCGTCGGAAGTGCCTACCATTGTTTACTTGAAATCAAGGTCCTCCAACTTAATATTCAAACTCCAGCAAGCCTTTGGGATGACCTACAGGGTGGCTCCGGATGAACATCCTGACACATGCTACTTGACTTTTCCCTGTTGGGTCAGTTATGGACAGCTGGGACCCGACTTGCCTAACACAGCACCAGCTTCATTGTGAAAACCCTCGGGCCCAGAATGTGCCCCACCCCCCACCCCCCCACTCCCTGGCAACAAATGCTCCCAGCGAGCTTGCAGTGGGGCACTGGGTTTGAATAGATTACCGGGCTTGTCTGTTTGCCATGCTGCAAGCACAGTGTTCTACGCCCCCCGCAGGGATGTGACATCAATATAAGCTGTGCACCGGGCTGAGCGCTGCCCCTCACCCATGCCCCATCTCACTGTCCCTGCTCATTAACTGCCCCCATCAGACACCAAGGCAGGGGGACAGCCAGGTTCCTGGTTCTGCTCATGGTGATGCCCCAGAGGCTCTACGGGAAGCCCAGCCAGGGACCTCCCTCCTGACTGCCCGGGGACTGACCTTGCGCCTCCCAGGGCAGGAAAAGCTCCGGATCTGAGGTCTGAGGAGAGGCTGGAGGGAGGCCAGCGGGAGAGAGGAGGGTGTGGGGGGAAGACCGAGGTCCAGGGAGGCAGAGACACGGAGACAGGAATGAGAACACAGAGGAACCAGCCACCTCGGGGTGGGGGTACCCCAGGAGAAGTCTCTGTGGGAGTGGGGGTACCCCAAGAGAAGACATCAGGAAGGGTGGTGGTCCCGTGGAAGAGACACGTCATAGGGAATGGAGTTCCCCTGGGAGGGGGCCCTGGAAGAGAAGCTGCCCTTGCCCTGCGGCCCCTCCTCATGCAGGGCCCAGCCAGGCAGGCTGGTGCCTTGAGGGTGGGGTGGCTCAGGGTGGGCTGGGCAAGTGGGCTCACCTTCTGAGGTGCTGTCCTCTGTGAAATAGCGGGCGGCCTCCAGGGCTGACTCGGCCTCCTCTGGGCTCAGAGCTGTGCATGGATAGGAAGGTGGTGGGGGGTGACACGACGGGACAGGAGATTGGCTAGAAGCCACTTCTAAACAAGCGCCCCCGGCCAGTCCTGCTGCAGGCTTCGCCTGGCCCACGGCTCAGACCCGCTCATGACAGCAAGCACGCCACGCGCACAGCAAGGACTGGTCTTGGCTGTGCGAAGACGTTCTCAGTTTCTTTCTTTCTTTTTTTTTAATCGCCCTTCCCCTCCAGGCCCCGGCCCCACCTCCCTGCCCCCGCGACGTTCTCAGTTTCACGTGACTTTTGAAGCAGCTGGGTGAGGGCAGGCAGCAGAGTTAGTTTCTCCTGCCCAGCGGGAATCTGGTTCCCATGCCCTGGGATCTTTTTGGCTCCATGATGTGCTCTCCCATGTTACACCACCCGCACCGTGCCCCGCCCCTGGGCCGCTGTGATGCCTAGGTGCAGGAAACAGCTAGTGCACCATCTCGGGGTGGGGGTTGGGGAGACAGCCCAGGGTGGCCTCTGTGTAGCCCTGGCTCATTCCTGGGCACAGCCACACCCAGAGGCAGGCTCTTCCCCTCGGGCCTCGGCATGGCCCTGCCGACCTGGTTTGAGATGACCCATCAGGCGGGGAGAGGGGGGATTGGTGTCCCGAGACCCCAGTTGGTGGTGTCTTGCTCTGGCAGCACCAGGGTCCTGAGAGCTATCAAAATGGACTTGACTGGGCCTATCCCTGACCCATGAGGGCCGTCTGTGGGGTGCACACCAGACACAGACACTCTACATGCGAGGGGTCCCAGCCACCGTGCAAGGTCACACCAAACTCAGTGGGTCACGGCGCTGGTGAGGAACTCAGGTGGCCCCAGGAGGCCGGGCGACAGGCAGTCCCTCTCACCACACTGAGCCCATGTCCTCTTGTAGGAAAGGGACAAGCCGTCCGTGGAGGGCTCTCGAATGCTGCCTGTGCGAATCCTAGCACTCCGCACCCCACAGGAACCCACAGAGCAGGCTTTTGCGCATCTCTGGCTTTCCCACTGTGGGCTTGGACTTGACTGTCAGTGGCCCCGAGGCCAGTCTCTGCAGGGTCCCAGCCGGGCCAGGGCCTGCTTAGGGAAGCCAGAGTGGCGGGTTTCTCAGGTTACCCCACAGCCTGGGAATGCACAGAAATCCTTTAGAAACTTAAGACAGAGCTCGGGGCCGTGGCTCTGCATGCGAATCCCTACCTGACGGCTTTTCACCTGGGCCGCCCAGTTTTCCATCTGGGACCCGTGTCAGTGGCAGAGAGCCCAGCACCATCCCTCCTGCCACCCAAGGACATCCAGACGAGGGGCCCCTCCTCCAAGTTTCTTCCCAGCCATTCCCCTGGCTTTAGGGGGTCTCTGTCCTCTGCAGATGACCCCCATCAGGCCCAGGGGCCTCTACCATATCCCAAGAGTCCAGAGTGTTGCCTCAGGCCCACTTGTCCCCCAGAGATGGGTGCAGAAGTCCAGGCAAGCAAGAGGCCTGCCCTGGGCAGTAGGGGGGAGGCGCTCACCTGGAGGCAGGTGCAGCTTGTAGAGTACTTTGAGCTTCTCAGTCAGGTCCCCGTGGTACATCCCACCTGCGGAGAGTCCACAGGAGGGTCCATGTGAGGGTTCTAGCCATGCTCGGGGTACCACCTTCTGGTGGGGAGCCACTACACAGTCAGCCACCTGCCCCCCACCCCCTGCTGTGTCCTACTGTCCTGTGCGCCCTTCCACAAAACTCAGCCCTCCTCTGAGCCTGCAGCTGTGTCCCCAGAAGGTACCCTCATCACAGAGGAGGGCTCAAGGCTGCCCTCCACTGCTGCAGAGGAGCTTCCTGGGGAAGGGCAGGGAGGAGGGTCTGTGTGCCGAGCACTCACTCATGCCTGTCACGAACTCCTTGAAGTTGATGAGCAAGTCTCTGTTCTCATCCAGGTGCCGGAACATGCGCCCCGCCAGCACGGGGGTGTGTGAGCCGCAGGCCCAGGGAGTCAGGCTGGCGAAGAGCTCCTGGAACTGGCTGGCATCGATACGGTACTGCTCTAGGTAGGGCAGGCTGGGGTCCCGACGGATGGCAGAGGTGTGGTTGCCCCCCCAGTACTGACTCGCCATGTGCTTGGTCTGCAGGGACACAGTCCAGTGAGTGGCCTGGCCCTCTGCTCAGGTGGTTAGAACAGCTGGGTTGGCCAGGGGTTGTGTCCAGCCCTCCTCTGTTTCCCCCCAAGAGCCCCGGGATGGGGGTGGGGTGCACTGGGGCAGAACCTCTCATGGAGGTACCATCAGCCCCACTTTTACAGCCATGGGAGCTGACAGAGCACTCGGCAGCCCATACAGTGGGCCACAGCAGCCACGGCTACAACAGGCCATAGCTGTGGTGGTCACTGGCCACGGTCACAAGCACAGTGGGCCAAACTGCTGTGGTGTCACACCACCTTGCCTGGAACCCATGAAACGAACCGGAGGAACAAAGGGAAGTGAAAGAGAGCAGAAAGGCAGGGTGGTGACTGTGGCTTTTGCCCCCTTGGCCCCCTTTCCTCTTCTGCAGTTTACAGCACCCTGAATACTCTTGGGAACCCTCCTGCCCCACCCTCAGACTGTGGGTGGATAGGGGCACTCCACACTGGCCCCACCCTTGGGGATGGGTGGGCGGGGGACACTTGACGTGAAGATGATTGACAGAACACTTGAGCACCTGGATCCAGCCATGCCTGAGGCTGTCCAATTCTAGACTTTTCAGTTAGATGAGCCAATCTGGTTTCTCTACCATGTAACCTGACTTGCCTTTATTTTCTGTTCCCTGCTACAGTGTCCTGGCTGAACTGCAGGAACAACTAAATTCTGCCTGGTGAGGTTTGTGGCCAGTGCACTTGAACATGCATTTGAGTGGACTTTTCTGGCAGAAGGCCGTTATGCTAAGGCTGCAATTAGGGGACCATGTAGGGCAGTGAGCCTCGCGGCCTGGGATGGGGAGGGGTGGTGACGTGGTGGCTGTCACCTTGAACACCACGTACAGGTCCTCCAGCTCTTCAATAGAGAAGCCGATGTCCCCTGGTATAGCTCGGACCTAGGAGGAACGAGAGGAGGCTGCGATGATGGATTCTCAAGTTCCAGCTACGTGAAAACGAGACCTTCTTCGAGACAATCCCCCTCTGTATGCGGAGACGCCGACTACCCTTTCAGCGTCTCGGGCAAGACAGACTAACAGGGTGGTCCGGGGGCCGGCCTCCATGCCCTCCCCAAGTCTCGCTCCCTGAGCTCTTCCTTGGGGTGGGCACACAGGTGGCTGGTCACCCTCTCTCCTGGGTGCCCCACCGAGACAAGGAATGAAGAGCGGCCACTTAGCTTCTGCTGCATGGATCCCTGGAAAGACCCTGAGATGCAGTCTATGGTGTTCTAGAATGCTCCAGATAATTCCTTTTTCATTTAGTTAAAGCCCGAGACCTCACAGATCTTGCCTGAGGAGAAGGGCTGGGAATACACAGACAAAGTTTGGCTTGAGGGGGCAGGTGGGGCAGTCTGTCAACAGCACAAGGTGGCAGATGCCTGGCAAAAGGACCGTCCCCAGAGATGACTTGACCCCTTCCAGGGACAAAGCGCACAGGATGGGACAACAGGAATGTATGAGGCCGGGCTGGGAGGGCACAGCCCATGAGCAGTGGGGCATTTGAGGCGCTGTCCTGCAGACTAACCTGTGTGCAGAAGAATGGTGGGCCCTCTCGCACTACCCCATACCCGTGTGCACCCTCGGGGAGTCCAGCCACGCACCGAATCTTAAATGCAGGCCAGAAACAGGTCCCCATGGGAAGTTCTGCAGCCCACCCTGCCCAGACCCGCCTGCAATGGAGGACCAGAGCCACGTGCGTACCACGCTCCGCTTGGCAGTGTCCTCCAAGGACTGGATCACTTTCAGCCGCTGTTTAAACCGCATCTGTTCAATGTCGTCCGCCCGCAGGCTGCTGAATTTCTACAGGCCAGGGGGGACTCAGTGAGTCAGGGTGTTAATATGGTACCCGCCTTCACTGCCCCGCTGAGCCCTGGCCAACCGGGCCCAGGAGTGCTGACCTCATATGACCTTTTCAGCAGCTCGAAGATGTCCACTTCCTCCGGAGGGTCGTCCCCACTGGTCAGTAAGGCATGGAGGTGAGGGATGGGAGGGGACACGCTCTGCTTGTTGATCACATTATCCAGGTATCTGCAGGGTGATGGGACAGCTGCAGGCCCAGGGCCGGCCCTGATCTGCACGCTGACCCCCATGGAACAAGCATGCAGACAACAGGGCGGGAGAAGTGGGCCCAGGAGAGGGGAGAGTGTGTTCTGGCAAGGCAGGGTCTCCCCACCATGGCCCACTCTGGAGCGCCCGGGGCCTGGGCAGAGAAGCCCCACATGACACATGAGCACTGACTCTGAAGAAGTAAGGGCACCTCTCTGGCCATCTGAGAAGACCAGCTGGTCAAAGGTGGTCCCAGCTGGAGAGATGGCACATTCCCACCCTCAGGCAGAGGCCAAGCCTGGGGAGGGAGGAACAGGAGCCAGGGAGAGATGACCTCTTGCCCTGCAGAGCCACTGCCCACCCACCAGGGAGAACCAGGCAGCACAGGAAGGCCCTGACAGACAAAGACAGTGGGGGAGGGCCTGGTGGGGCAGCCTCTGTGAGTCACAGCCTCCTAGTGTCCAGTAATCAGGTGCCCCATACACTGAGTGGCCGCTTCCCCCACTCAGGAGAGCCAGATCTGTCTTGTATGAGTAGCCGGAGGCTGGCCACCAGCTGAGTGTCGGTATCAGTGTGGGCAGAGCTTGACCAGAGCCCAGAGCAGGGAGGTGACATCCCTGAAGGTCACTTGGGCTGGCTCTGCAGGGACAGTATGATGTTCAGGGATAGGTAGGGCTGTGCTGCCACAGAGCGTGGGGACCAGTGGGCTGGGAGGGGTTGGAGGAGGCCAGGCTGGGGAACTCAGGCAGTCCTTTCCCACCGAGACTCATGAAACAGGGTGAGGTGAGTGCTTGGGGAAGGAGATCATGGTCTGAGTGATGGGGTATGGGATGCAGAAGCAGAGGCCTGAGCTGCAGGGGGCTGGCTGGGTGCTACTGTGTGCACAGGTGCACAAGCCCAGCGTGTGCACGCAGCACTGCCGTTGAGCTGGGGAAGCACAAGCAGGGCTGCACTCAGACCTCAGGGCCTGCAAGCCTACTGTCCCGCCCACCCACGGGGCCACCTTGTTTGGGCCTCAGCTCCCAGTTATACTCTCTGACAGCGCCCCTGATGACACATCTAGGTGGTGGCCCACCCACTGCACCCTACCTCCTGTTCTGCTGTAGCTGGCCCAGCCCTGATCTCTCTCCTGACCAGGGAGTGGCCTGGGACACGGTGGCCAGGCCACTGGGGGGAATGGGTGCTAGCACCCATGGGACTGAGTGTGGCAGCTCGCTGGCGGGAGGGAGGTGAGTGGGGAGGCGGTCACCTGCCCAGGACGGTCATGGCCTCGCCCTCATCGCTGCAGCCCAGCAGCTGCCCCATGTTGGCATCCAGGATGGCCAAGGCCACCTGCAGGACCACCTTGATGCCCTCGTAGAAGAAGCAGTCGACGATGACCACGGCACTCTCGAAGGGCATCACGCTCAGAAAGAGGGTCAGGAACCACGAGAGCGAGATGCTGGAGATCACCCCCAGGTCCTGCATCTTCTCCGAGAGCTGCGGCAGGAAGTCCCTCGTGAGCTCCTCAAAGATACCTTGGTCTACCAGCGCACCTGGGGCCAGCAGGGAGGAGCTGGAGTGAGCGCCAGGCCCCCATCCCGCCAGCCCTTGTGAAACCCCCACTGCCCAGCTGCAACCTACCCTGACCCTGGCTGCAAGGGATGGGGGTGGGGAGAAAGATGGCAGGAGAATGCCTGTGAGCATTCTTTCTTTAACAATGACCTTGGTGGTTCCTGTGTGCCCTGTTCTAATGTCTATGAGACAGGGTGAGGCGCTGAGGGACTTCCTGGGTTTGGGACTGAGCTCTGTTCCACGCCCCAAAGGGTTTGTTGAAATCCTATAAGCCTATGCGCATGACCGTGTTTGGGGGAATAGAGATTTTCTTTGCAGATGTTCTAAGTTGGGTTGATATGAGGTCCCCTGGAGTGGAGTGGGTTCTATCCCCTTCTGTAGGGTGTTTTATAAGTGGGGAGGAGAGACACAGAGTCACACAGAGGGAAGGTAGCCCTGTGAGGCTCATCTTCAAACCAAGGACGGCCTGGGACACCAGAGGGCTACCAGAAGTTGGAAGACAAGGAAAGAGCTCCCCCTAGAGTCAACAGGGAGTGATGAGCATGGCCCTAGCGATGCCTTGAATGTGGACTTCGGCCTGCAGAACTGTGAGACCACTGTGTTTGCGTTCTTTAAAGCTACCCACGGTGGTATCTTGTTGCGGCAGTCCTAGAAAACTAAGGCAGTATGGGAAGGACAGCTTAGAATAAGAGACGGACCTTCACCTGTGATCGGACCCCTGGGGGTGTGGTGGTTACACACTGGGCTGCTAACTGCAAGGTCAGCTGCTTCTGAGGGAGGAAGATGAGGCTTTCTACCCCCATGAAGAGGCAGTCTTCGAAAGCTAGTGGCAGTTCTACTTGGTCCTCGAGGGCCACCACGGGTTGGACTCGATGGCAGTGAGCTCCTAAGTGCTGAAGCTGGATACTAAGTACACAGGGGCTTATTATACTCTCTACTTGGGTATGTTGAACGTTTTCTGTAATGAAATGCTCTAGAAGTGAGGCAGCATCTAAAGTGGACTCAAGAGTTTCTCCTGCTCCCGAGGAAAGAAGAGTGACAAAATTGAGAGACTAACTGTGCAAACAGTCCAAGTGACCGATGGGCCATGCAAACCCCAGTCTCCACAGCCCTGGGACCAGAGAACTAGACGGGCCCGGCTACCCCACCAGCCGCCCTGACAGGGATGATAGGAGAAGCGCCTGGATGGAGTGGGAGAAAGCGCAGATGAAAATTCAAACGTATCGAGGAGATTAGGCTCACTGGTCAGAGAGAGCAAGGGGGGCACTTGACTATGACCTCAGCCACCTTTCAGTTCAGGATCGGAGCCAACCTCTGTGACAGAATAAGCAACCATTTGTGACCAGAGGTGCATCACCTACCCAAGGACAGGGCTCAGAGGAGCAGGAAAGGAGAAGTGGAAACAGGGGTCAGGGAGGAAGCAGGATGGGGGATGGGACACTGGGGGGATCGCCAAGGGTGAGTTGAGACCAAGTGGGCATGGGCTGCTGACTAGACGCCGGGTATTCTGCTCTGTGAACCTTCACTCATTGACAATAAAAAGTTTTTTAAAAAGTTAGGCAGATGGAGCTATAAGGCCATGACTGACGTTTAAGGAGCAGTGACCATGTACTATCGTCACCGCTGTAGGTCCTTGGCAAGCACCCACACAAAGTCTGGGCTACACGGCTGGTGGCTGGGGGCTGTGCCTGGCTGTCTCCTCGCAACATGCTTCCTATCTGCAGAAGAGAGCTGCCGGGCCTGCAGGGTGACCGTGGGGCCGGTGAGCTAACCCAGAGCCCTGGAGAACCACCAGGCAGCGCTAGGAGGGGCAGCTGGGGGGCGGGGGCATGTCGCCTCCTCACCCTGGCCAGCCTTGGGGACACTCACCCACCACCCTGGTGTTGTAGTAGTCGGGCAGCATCCGTTCACAGAGGGCCACCAGCAGCCAGAAAGCCTCTTCCTCGTTGCCATAGAGCAGAAGGACCGACGTCACAATGTTCATGGCCTGTGGACACATAAGCAGGGAGCGGTGACCTGAACGGTGCTCCCCCCAAAATACACGCGGAAGCCCTAACAGCTTCGCCCCCACCTGTAAATATGGCCTCTTTCTCCTGTCACGCTAACGGGGGAATGTCTAACCCCTACTGAAGGGTGTCTTCTGAGGCGGGAACAGACACAGGCACACACACAGGGTGAGGCCATGTGAAGATGGAGGCCGGTGCCGCTACAACTGTGTCAAAAGCCCCAGGGCAGCGGTTCTCAACCGACCCTTTCACAGGCGTCGCCTAAGACCCTCAGAAAACATATTTCTGAGGGTCTTAAGAACCGAGACACTGCCCCCGCTCTCTGTCTCCAGGCGGTCTGCCCTCATGCAGATATGCCCACCTATGAGTACCCGGTGTGAAGACTGTTACCCATGCTACCCCATGCTTCAAGACAAAATGTCATTGATTTGTCATTAGAAATATTTCACAATATATAATGACATATTGTTTTGGTGGTTCATCACTATGCTTTAATAAAAATACATCCTGCATATCAGATATTTACATGGCAACTCATAACAGTAGCAAAATGACAGGAAGTAGCAATGAAAATACTTTTCTGGTTGGGGGTCAGCTCAACATGAGGTACTGCAGGAAAGGGTCGCAGCATTAGGAAGGTTGAGAACCTCTGTCCCAGGGGTTGGGAGCAGCTACTGGGAGCTGAGAGCGATAAAGCGAACCTTCCTCTAGAGCCGATACCGAGTTTGGACTCCCAGCCTCCGGAGCTGTGAGAACACATACACACACATTTCCGTTCTTTAAACCGCCTGTTTGTGGTATTTTCCTTACAGTAGCATTAGGTAACTAAGCGGCCCACCACCAGGTCGAACTGGCTTCTGCTGAAGGGGCCTGCATGGGCCTCCTGGCAGGGGCACGTGGGAGCCAACAAGGAGAAACGGTCTCGGTCCAACGCCAGGGCAAAGTGCTGAAAGGCAATTGGCAGGAATTCCGCTTGACCAAAGCAGCCAGAGCACAACCCGACCGGGGTTCCGACAAGGGCGGAGAAAGCAGAGGTGCCCACAGAAGACTGCTGAGCAGCCACGCCTGCTTGTCTGGGTGAGCGCGGAGCCAGGCTGACGGACGGGTGGCTACACGGACGGCCACATCACCACATCACAGCCGCAGGGAGGTACAGCAACACTGAGGGCTCATGAGCCTCTAACAGAGATCTTGTCTATTTTATTATCATTATTTTTTGGGGTCAAATATTGAAGGTTTCCATTTCTATAAAATATCCAGAATCGGCACATTCAGAGAGTTGGCTCAGGGAGGGTACTGGGAATGACTGCTTATTGGGTCAGGGTGTCTGTCCCTTGAGGGTGATGACAAGGTTTGGCCCTGGAGAGAGGGGAGGGCAGCATCCCGCCACATTGAATGATCTTCTAATGTGACTTCTACCTCAATGAAATGCCTTGGTAGTCTCATCTCTGATTCTGAGATCACCCCAAGTTAAGATGGCTTAATGCCTTCAATATTGCAGGAAGTACCGTCTCATAAAGCAGGTTCCCGAAACTGGACTATGACCCAGTTCAGGTCGGCTCTTCAAACCTTGTCTCCTCTCCCCAAATGACATCGAGTGCTTCCTTTTGGTGTTGCAGTTGTTGTCCGAAGCGGCTGAGTTGGTTCCCACACATCACAATCTCAGGCACAGCCGAGCACGGCCGTGCCTGTGCTCACATTGGTTGCAGCCACGGTGTCAATCCATTTTCTTGAGAGCCTGCCTCTTTTTTTTGCTGCTTCCCCCTCTAGGGCCTGGTCTCTCCTGACAACATGTCCGAAGCGTGTGATGCAGTCCAGCCATCTGTGCCTCTGAGGAGCAAGCACTCTCTGTTGTTGCTAGTGCCGTGAGTTGGTTCCGATACACAGCTACCCTGTGCAAACAGAACCCAACACTGTGCGGCCCTGCGCCAGCCTCACGACGGTTCCTAGCGGGATCCCATTGTTGCAGCCACATCTCCTTGAAGACCTTCCTCTTTTTTGCTGCCCCTCCACTTTACCAAACCTTCCCCAGGGACTGGTCTCTTCTGATAATGTGTCCAAAGTATATAAGTGAGAGCTTTGCCATCCTTGCCTCTAAGGAGCACCCTGGCTATACTTCTCCCAAGACATATTGGTTTGTCCTCTCAGCAGTCCGTGGTATTTTCAGTATTCTCTTCCAGCACCACAATTCCATTGCATCGATTTTTCTTTGGTCTTCCTTACTCAATATCCAACCTTCACATGCATACGAGGTAACAGACGATACCATGGTCCTTCAGGTCAAATGAACCTGAAACCCCAAGGTAACATCTGTTTTTCAATACTCTAGAGGTCTTGTGCAGCAGACTGACCTAACGCAACATGCCTTTTATCTCTTGACTGCTGCTTCGTGAGCACCGACTGAATCCCAGCAAGACAAACGCCTTGGCAACTTCCACCTTTCCTCCACCTGTCCTGTTGTTACCGACTGGTCCACTTGTGAGGAGTTTGTTCTTCTTGACATTGAGTCATAATCTGTACTGAAGGCGGAAATCCCTGAGCTTCATCAGCAAGTGCTTGAAGTCCTCCTCACATTCAGCAAGCAAGGTTGTGTCACCTGCAAACCGCAGGTTGTTAATAAGCCTTCCTCTACTCCTGATGCCGCACTCTTCAGATAATCCAGCTTCTCTGATGATTTGCTCAGTGTACTGATTGAACAAGTATGGTGAGAGGATACAACCCTGACTCACACCTTTCTTGATTTTAAACTATGCAGTATCCCCTTGTTCTGTTTGCCCAACTGCCTCTTGATCCAGGAGCGAGTTTCAAATGAGCACAGTGTTCTGGAATTCCCTTTTTTTTTATTTAAATTTTTTTTTTATTTTAATTTTAGTTTTTTAATAATTTAAATTTTATTTTATTGAGGGCTCTTACAGCTCTTATCACAATCCATACACATATCCCTTTTGTCAAACACATCTTTACATATGTTCTCATCATCTTTTTCAAAACATTTTCTTTCTACTTGAGCCCCTGGCATCAGCTCTTAATTTTCCTCTCCCTCCACGCCTCCTTATAATTTATAAATTTCTTTTTCATGTCTTACACTGACTGCTGTCTCATTTCACCCACTTTTCTGTTGCCCGTCCCCCTGGGATGGGGGCCATATGTCGATCATTGTGATCAGTTCCCCCTTATTCCACTCCTCACTCCCCCTTACCCTCCTAGTACGGCTGCTCCCCTTATTGGTCTTGAGGGGTCTATCTGTTCTGGATTCCCTGTGTTTCGAGCTCCTATCTGTGCCAGTACACATGTTCTGGTCTAGTCAAATTGGGAAGAGAGAGTTGGGGTCATGACAGTGAGGGAGGGAGCACTGAAGAACTAGAGGAAGGTGGTGTGTTTCATCAGTGCTACTTGCACCCCGACTGGCTCGTCAATTCCTTGTGGCTGTTCTGACCATTCTTTTATTGTATTGAGCAAAATGTTAAAAACCTTTCAGTATTTTTAAGCTGCATTTAGAACTGATTTTAATACTGTTCGTACCTTTTCAGATCTTCCCTATTGAGTTCTCATGTGGAGTTGGGATCCCGACAGTGCAGGCTATTCCCTTCACTAAGCAGCGGTCCCCAGCATTAGCATGTGTGACCCTCAGACTACTCCTACTTGCCCCTTAGTGGGGTGTAGATCTGTCCTCACTGGGAAGTGATGGAACCACCCGACTATCTCAACAGACGCAGCTCCGTCCCCTTCCCCTGCTGCACACGCAGCACTCAGGCTTTTGGGGTGGGAGAGCCAATCCTGTCTCTCACAACAATTTAAAAATGATTTGCGAACCTTAAGTATATTTTCACAAACAAATGGAATCACCGTTATCTGAAGAGAAAATTTCATTTTCACTTTTACAAATGCACCCCCAAAGAGCTACATTTGGCTCTTGAGCCACAGTGTGCTGACCCCTGCCTGACGGCAAGGCTAAGTAAGAATTAGACACATCTGTACTCGACCATGGCTTGGAAATTTGTCCCCAACTAGTTTTGGGGCGCCTCTGTCTGCACGTGTGCCATTTCCCACTAGGAAATGCTCCCACGGCTGTGCTCTCCTCTTTATGCCTCCTGGAGCTCCAGCTCTCGATGGAAACTAGCCCACTCTGAGCAGGTGGACCTTAGTTCTCTCAGACTGGTCTGGTAGTATTTTAAGAAAAGGCTCCAGAGAGCAAATGTTTTGAGAATGATGAGGGTAACGGATGTACAAATGTGCTTTACACAATGGATGTATGTATGGATTGTGATAAGAGTTGTACAAGCCCCCAATAAAATGATTTTTTTTAAAGAGGCTCCAATCAGCTGGTGTATTCCATTTATCTGGTTTTCAACACACTGGCTTTCTGTGAGTGAGTAACTGGTCACTCAGCACAGTGGCCCGTTACAAAGGACTTTTGGGGAGTTGGCCTGTTTTCCTGAGTCCCAGATGCAGGAGAGGGCAAGAAAAGCCATGTGACATGGCCAGAAACGCATCCACAAAATTTACGATCAAATGCTGTCAAGACCTAGAAGAGAGTCACCTAATGCACAACTTAGGGTATGGGGGCAGGGGGAAAAGAAACAATGAATATATGAGGGGTAGCCCTAAAAAAACTGGGAATTTTTTCAAAGCTATGTATTTAGATTTTTTTTACAAAACAACCTTATCACCTACAAAGTACTCTCCATTACACTTAATACATTTGTCAAATCTGCGATTCCATTCTTGAAAACAGTTTTCAAACTCATTTGTTTGGATGGCTGACAGCACCTCACTTGTTTTTTCCTTCACCTCTTTTACTTTGTCAAATTCCCGTCCTTTCATGTCCCTCTTCATTCTTGGACACAAAAAGAAGTCACACAGAGCAAGGTGAGCCACGTGCATGGCGCAAGAGAGGTATGCCGGTTTGTGCCCCAAACTGGTGCACTGAGATGGCTGCGTGAGCAGGTGCATTGTCACGGTGGCAAAACCCGTCGTTCCCTGTCTCCCACAAATCAGACCTTTTTTGGTCACACACTGTTACACAATCTTTTCAGAACCTCTAAATAGAAAGCTTGATTAACAGTTTGAGCTGGTGTGGAACGAACTCAAAATGCATGAGTCGTAATTTTTGTCTGTTTGGGAAGCTGACAGACGTCCAGAACGAGGTTTGTCATCAATTGACATTTCACCTTTTTTGAAAGGAGAAAACCACTCGTACACTTCAGTTTTCCCCATAACACTGTCCTTGTGAGCTGTGTCCAACATCACAACAGTTTCTGCAGCATTTTTTTAAGGCAGGAAACAAAATTTCATGGCTACACGCTGTCCTTTTAAATCAGCCATCACAAAAAACAAGGTTTGAGTGAAACGGTTTTTATGAAAAAAATTCTCTGTGACCAGAGAGAACCTTCCCAGGCGATGCCACTGGGTGCACTAACTCAGAGCGAGTTGCTCAATGCTTGCCTAGCAGGAAAAATGAGTACTATGGAAGTACTTTTATCCATTTTTTCAGGAGGAGGGTATACCTCGTATATACATACAGGCATACAAACACACCTGTTTTCCCTTCTGGTGCCCTGTATCTTTTAAAGGAAATTTTATTGTGGTAAAATGTGCACACATTAAATGTGCCGTTTTAACCATTTCTAAGTGTACATGGCAGTGTCATCAATTACACGACTGTCACCACTAATTATTTCAAAAAAATATTCGTCATCTCAAACAAACTTGGTACCCAATCAGCAAAAAAAATAGTGCTGCTTTTTTATTTATATTTTATCCTCTGCATCATAATTTTTATTTAAATAAGTTCTCCCAACTGGACCTAAACTCTTGAAGGCAGGAGCTGTGCTTGGTACACAGTGGGTATTCTATTCAGGCTTTCGAAATGTTCTTATGGTAAATATCTGTGTAACAAAACACTTGCCATCTCATCACGCATTGAGATGCATGCGTTAGTGGCATGAATTGCATTCAGTGTGCTGGTCAAAAAGCATCATTATGTGTCCAGATTTTGCCGTCACTTTAACAGGAACTCGGTGCCCATAGGCAGTAACTCACTTTGCCCTCCCACCTTCCCACAGTGCTCACGAACAGACTTTGGTTGGCATGTGTTTCTGAGGTATTTCATGTATGTGGGACCACACACCGTGTGTTCTTTTGGGACTTAATTGTTCCACTCAGCACACCCTTTTTGAGGTTCACTACAATACCGGCGCACCTACTCTAACGCAGTGGGGACTCTTCCTGGGAGCACGGTTGCAGGCCTTGGCGGTGGGGAGCTGAGAGGGACATGCTGTTTCTGGGCTCCTGCACGCCCCGTACCTGGCAGTAGCCGATAGTGGGGTTGCGGAAGGCGTAGGCAGTCAGCACACGCCGGAGCGCAGCGATCCCGAGCTCGTTCTGGAAGGCAGGGTGCTCTGGCATGGAGCGGTGCAGGTCTCGCTCGATCTCCTCCGTGGCCAGGCTGTACTTCCCTGTGGACTTCTCCACCAGCTCGGCATAGTAGCCGGGGTGAGTCACCATCTCGTTCCAGGCCCCTGCGGAGACACAGGGGTGGCTCTCTCTCTCTTCTGCTTGGGGACTTTGGGGGCAAAGACAGGACAGGCTGGAGACGTGTCGGTGTAGCTTGGAGATTGGGGGTGGGTACCTTTGGGGTCAGTTACAAGGTCATCCTCATGCACCCCCGAAAGTGCACCCATCCAGGAAGTTCACTTGGCTGACCAGCCCTCCCCAAAGCCCTTGGAGCAGCCCAGGGTGTAAGTGGTGGCAGCGTTGGTCCCAGAGGAAGGAGGAACACGAGGCTGCTCTGGCTGCTGCAGGTGGAAGGCAGCCCTGTCCTTGGCATCTGCTCCCCAGCGCCCCTCCTGGCCGCACCCAGAAAGAGGCCACCCCACTCCTCAGAGCTCCCAAAGCCTCTTTGGACTAGGGGGCAGCGGCTCCTCCCTGGCCACCCCAGGAGACCACCTAGGGATCAGTGAGCGAGTGTGTGGGTGGCTGGGGCATGGGGCCTGCTCACCGGAGAAGAGGAGCCACAGCTCGCCCCGCAGGCTCTCGGGAATGCCCTTCAGGACGAGCTCTCGGGTCTTGGCAGTGCGGTACATGCACATGCCGCGCCCGTACTCAAAGAAGTGAATGTTCCAAGACTCCTCCTTCATCTTCTCTTTGGCCTGTGGGAGAGGAGATGGGGCTTGTGGGCCAGACTCGGCCATCACTGATGGTTTCAGAGCGTTGATGGCAAAGAGCCCTCCCCCTCCAGCAGTGCTGGAAGCTTCTCCTGTAAATCATCTCATCTACCGGGGCTGACCAACCACCTCAGGTCTCAACTACCAGGAAACGCAGGCCCTGCGGGCCCCAGCGGAACAGATCACATACTGTCCTGCATCAGCAGGAAGGGAGAAGAGTCATTCAGAAGCGGAGGGCCCCTCGCCTGGCGAGAGAGTTGGCTGACTCCCCTGCCCAGAGCGCCACCTCACAGTCTTGGGCTGGCTGTGGAGGCACAGCCCCCAGGCTGGCCCCGTGCTGCCCTGACTCAGCGTCACTCTGGTCTGTGCCCTCCTCAGAAGCAAGCACCCACCTCAGCGCTTACCCACTTGGCCCCCAGGACCTCCATGGACGAGTCTCCCTGGAAGAGCCTGAGCAGGCCCTGGGATGCCGTCGGCACCTCCTGCGTATAGAAGCTCTGGCAGTCACTGAGGGAGGAAGATGGGCTGGTGGGCTGCTCCAACACCTCCTGGGGGGCGGAGGGAGACTAGAAAACACAACAGGAAGAGGCACACCTAACAACGGGGCCGGACCTGTGCACCTCAACCCATGGGGTGGACAAGCCACCTGGACAGGGAGTGTCTCTGTGGGATGGGTGATATATTCAGAGAATAACCCTGGCAGGCAGGAGGGCCTGGTGGTGTCTCTGTGGCTGCAGCGGCATTTTTTTTTTTTAAATCAATTTATTGGGGCTCATACAATTCATCACAATACATAGATCAATTGTGTAAAGCACATCTATACATTTGTTGCCCTCATTATTCCCAAAATTCACTTTCCTCTTGGGTTCCCGGAATCAGCTCATTTTCCTTTTCCCCCCTACCCCTCCCTTCCTCCTCCCCTCTCCCCCATGCACCCTTGATAATTTATAAATTATTATTGTATCTTATATTACACTGTCCGGCGTTTCCCTTCACCCACCCCTCTGCTGCCCGTCACCCAGAGAGGAGGTTATATGTAGCTCCCTGTGATCAATTCCCCCTTTCTACACCCCCTTTCCCTCCTGGTATTGCCACTGTCACGCCTGGTCCTGAGAGGTTCATCTGTCCTAGATTCCCTGCGTTTCCAATTCCCATCTGTACCACTGTGCATCATCTGGTCTAACCAGGTCTGCAAGGCAGAAAGAATTGGGGTCCTGGTAGTTGGGGGGAGGAGCTGCAGCGGCATTTCCTCCTCACCTACACTTACTGCCCCCTAACCCAGCTCAACTACAGTGATGAGTGGAGGGCTCCCACGGCACGGGCTCTGGGACGCATGCTGCCCATCTCTTCCTGAGCTGGCAAAGGGGAGAAGACTCAAGCCTCCCAAGGCTGCTCCTGGCCTCTCCCTGAGCCTGGCTGCTGCCTGTAGGGAGAGGCCTTCCATGCAGGCAGCCCAGCCCACCATCTGCTTCTCATCTTTGCTCCTTGTTCCCTAGGCAACTGCCATGTGTACCCGCCTGTGCCCACTAACTTGGTTCTCCACTGGCCCCGGAGGTAGCTGTCCTGAACCCTTGGGCACTAGGAATGGCCTCTGCCCACACCTAGCCTAAGGACACCCCTCTTCCCCCACAGCACTGGTTCACATGTGGGCCTCGGGCCAGGCCTGCTGGGGAAGCAGGCAGTAAGGGAGGAGGCCTCTGGAGGAGCCAGGGCCCCTTGAGGCACAGTAGAGGCATGGGTCCCCATGCATGCTACATATGGGGCCAGGCCACAGGTCCTTGCTCACCCTGGGGTTTAGTCCTTCAGAGCAGAGGCAGCTCAGTCATCCTGCTCATGTCCCTTTTCACCCAGTTCTGCCTCACCCTCACTTGAAGTTTTAGGATCAAGTTCAATCTCCTCTAAGAAACATGACCTTAAAAAATTTTTTTTTGTATGGTGAACTATATATGGCAAGCTGAGGAGCCCTGGTGGCATGGTGCCTGACCCGTGGGGATGCGGACTGCAGAGTCAGCAGTTTCAAACCACCAGCCGATGACGCTTTCTACTGCTGTAAAGAGTGACAGCCATGAAACCTGCAGGGGCCGTCTGACTTGGCCCAGCCACGCCGCTGCGAGCTGGCAGACCCCGTTTCACTGTGCTGTGCTGACTGCCTTTTGCAGACATTGCCCTCTCTCTCTCTCTCTCTCCCTCTAACAAATGAAAGGTCTGTGACAACCCTGCTGTGTGGAACAAATCCACTGGCACCATTTCCCCAATGGCATGTGCTCCCTTTGTGTTTCTGGGTCACATTTTGGTGATTCCCATAATATTCCACACTTCTTCATAATGTAATTGCATGTTTAACAGACTCCGGTCCAGGGCTGCGATCTGAAAGGTCAGCCGTTCGAAACCACCAGCTGCCCTGCAGGAGAGAAGACGGGGCTTTCTCCTCCTGTACACCGTTAGTCTCGGAAACTCATGGGGCCGTTCTATCCCGTCCAATAGGGCGCTAAGAGTGGGCACCGACTCGGTGGCAGGGACTGAGGTGCTGGGCTGAGAACGGTGCAGACATAACTTCCTATGTGCTGAGAGACCCAAACCTTTGTGTGAGTCCCTGGACTGTGGCCTTCTGGAACCAAACCTGCAGAATCGCGGTCTGCCTGGGTGACGAAGCATTCTCCCTTTCAGCCACTTTACTTGTAGGGTTCGGCTCAGGGACATGCCGTCCATCCACTATGTCGAGTAACAATGGCCACCATCGCCCACATTTTCAAGAGCCTTTTCCTCATGTAGCCAGTCACACGGACTCTTTGCACCCGCGTCCCCCCCAGTCCTAGTCTACTTGATGACTAACGGAGCATCACTCTAAAACAAAACCAGCCTACTGCATCAGGTCATGGCCAGCTCACAGCAACCCTAGAGAGGGTTTCCAAAGGCCGTAATTCTCACGGGAACAGATAGCCTCTCCTCTCTTCTAAGAAGCAGCAGATGGGTTTGAACCACTGGCATTGCGGTTCGCAGTCCAAATGCCTGACCTACAGTGACACTCTAATGAACCTTTAAAATGGAATTGTATGATATGTGGATTAGGTGCCAATAAAAATGTAAAAAGAAAAAAAATATTACCCTGAGATCATCTTTAAGCCTGAAACCAAAAACATCCCCTGAAGTCTTCTTAAAAACAGAACAATAAAATAAAAACCCCACCCGAGCAATAGTTTAGCTAAACTAGTAAAGAAGACGTCTGCTTGGAGTATTATGTTCTTTAGAACGCAGGCGATCTCTTGCCAACAGCAATGTGAAAGGCAGGAAGCTTAGGGGCAGCGTGTTTACGGTTATGAGGAAGAGCTCGGGGGCAGGGGCAAGAATAGCTGCACAATTTAAAGTATCTCATCAGCGCCACTAAATGGCACATGCAGAAACTATCAGTGCCTGCTTAGCTGTGTACGTTCTCAACACCACCACACGTTTCTAAGGGGGGTGCCTGTCTGTTAGAACTCCACACGAAATGACTGACAAGTGAAACAACAGCCAGACCGAGCCAAGGTGGACAAACTGAAGCCATCAGCAGGCTCCCCGGACTGCGGGCTGCCAGTCAACAGCCTGGGACCCAAAGGGGTCCTTAGGAGCTGGGCCATCTTGGGGTTTCAGACACTGGTTGAGGCCCCCACACTGTGGCTCTTGCTCCCAATGTAAGAGAAGTCACAAAGGCAGGAGATGAGGTGGCCAGAGGCTTCTTGAGATGGGATTGAGGAGACATGTGGGCTATGCCTAGGAGTTGGGACCTGGAGTATGGAGAGAGCGAGGACCAAGGGGGACGGGTAGGGTGAAGGGCTGGTGACATCCCCCATGGGAAGCACAGAGCAGGGAATCCTCTAGTCAGAGGGCCCGGCTCAGCACCACAGGGTCCTGTCCCGTGAGGCCCAGGGCTGCTAGGCGTGTCCCTGGCCCTGGCTCCACCGCTCCTCCCCAAGGCTGCGCTCACCTCGGGCGTTGTGTCCACACTGCTGCCTTTCCTCTCCGCACTGCTGCCGTCCGGCTGCTTGGAGGGCGTTTTCTGGAGAAAGTCTGAGATCCTCTGAAGCAGGAACTCTCGGTCTTTCAGGTTGGCAAACAGGAAGGTCATCTTACTCTTGGTGCTAATGGACAGCGGGCTGGGTAGGACACTGGAACTGTCGGCTTTCTCAACAATGGTCACCTGAGCAGGAAAACAGGTTCCCCTGGGCATTTGTGTCTCGGGGTTATCAAGTTGAGCTTTTCTCTTTTGAGTATGGTGAAGGACATTTTCCACTTTTAAACACTTGTGAAGATCAGGCAGTACTGAGTTTCCCCTGGCCGCGTCTGTAACTAACATCTCACAGCAGTATGGCACACTTGCTGTGAAGAAGGACCCACGTGGAGAGACCGTGCACCGAAGTCCGCACTTTATCCGAGTGTCCTTTTTTGGGTTCAGGACCCCAGCGGGAACCCCAGGACAGTTAACCGTCAGGTGTCCTTCAGCCATTCTCGGCTGTGGCGGTTCCCCAGACTCTCCCCGCATGTAAGGACGTGGCTGGTTTTGACGAGAGGGGTACCAGTCAGGCGTTCTGAGGACTCTCTCTCTATTGGGATCGGTTGGATTTTTTCTCATGATTAGACTGGGGTGATGCGGTTGGGGGAGGAGGACCTCCGATGTGAAGTGCCTCTCATCTCATCAAATCACAGGTACCTACTCCGACCCTGACTGTCCACCGAGGATGCCGACTTCCCTCACCTGCTGACTAGTGTAGGCTAGGTGTCTCCCTCGTGATGCCCCTGTCTCCCTGGCCGCCTCCCTATTGTGCGCTGCGGAAGGAAGTCACTGTGCGGCCACACTTGGAGGGGGAGGGTGTATTCTACCTCTTTCGTGGGGAAGATCCACAGAGACTACGGCGCTCTTCTGTCTGGGAGAAGGCTGGGCACGGGTGACCCTGGGACTGGGTACCACACAACCTGACTCCCACTTTAAGTTACTTAGGCGGCTGTGAGGAAACAGGTCAGAGGGGTCAGGGTGTGAACAGGACACACTTCAGGTGCCCCCTGTGGAGGAAGGCATCTTCCGTGGTGGCTGTGGAGAGGAAGGGGTAGAGATGGGCTCAGGACATGTACTGGGGAAGCCGACAGGGTGGGCTGAAGGCAGGATGTGGAAGATGAGGGTGGGTATCCAAGGATGTCAAGTTTTTAATCTGAGAAAATGGATAGAGGGGCTAGGGGTGGGTAGGGGTGCGGGTGGGCCTGGCCCTGGCCCACCCTGAGCAGGCACTTGTGAGTAATGGAGGCCCTAGACATGCCCTGGGCCCAAGGAGCATGTTCAGGACAGTCAGCACTGTATGGTTCTGCCCCAAGATGCCAGGCCAAGCCTCCAGTGCAAGGCCACCCTGCTGCCCCAGTTTAGCAGAGCCTGCCTACCAGCTCTGTGGGGAGAAACAGAACTGGGCCCAAGGAGTCAAGACCCCGCTGTGCCTGTGCCACAAGAGCAGGCAGAGCCACGACCACGTCTGGGTCTTTCAAGCTGGCCCTGGGGGAAGTGAGGTCGGAACTGCCCATACCTGCTCACAGCTACACTGCAGCTCAAGGGCATTGCACAAATGCCAGGAAGGCCTCCCTGCTCCAGGATCTTCATAAAACACAACACTGGGGTTCAGTAGCCATGGCAGGGAAAGGCCTGGCTGAGCTCATGGCATGAAGTGCCGAGCGTGTCTTCTGAGATGTGCCCTGACTCAGTGGGCCAGCACCTCTGTCTAGATGGGTCCTCTCCATCATTGCCCACCCCTCTTTACCACAGCCACTGGGTCAACGGCTTTGCTTCCCCACAGGTTGCCAGGAAAGCCCCACAAGTCTGAGAGTGCATACTTGGCCTCAGGAGATGAGCTCTCTGAGGTCGTGACTGGGGCCTGAGTCATGCACTTCTGTGTGTGGGAACAGTGGCAGGCATGTGGAGTGGGTTCTCTCAGAGGTCATAGCAAGCCAGGCTCTGCCAGCCCAGCCACAAGCAGGCTTTGCCAACTCCCACTGTGGGGCTGGGAAGGGAAGGCAGGCTGACAAACATCTCACACACAAGAAGGAAGTGAGATCCAGCCTCCCTTCTCTGTCCCAGTGTGCACTTCTCTGCCACGCTCAATACGACCAAGGTCCTCACCACTCTCTCCCCCTGCTGGGCAAGGCGAACCCCAATACCAGCTTCGCATGGGGCAGGCACTCAGGGAGGAAATGATTCAACCAGCTGGGCTCTTGCATACCGTCACATGCTGGGCCAAGGATCCCGAAGCACTCCCACAGAGCCTCCGGGTCTCAGGCAGGGCCAGGAGCCAGTTCGAGGACCATCCGTGCCTGTGCTCATGCCCGCCCCTCTGTGGACTTACCTCCCTCAGGGGTATAATGAGGTGGCATGCGTCCTCCTCCTTGCTGGCAAAGCAGATGTAGTTGTTGGAGATGAACATCTGGCCGGGGACGTGCAGCTTGCTGAAGGGTGTCCACAGGGTGCAGCCCGTGTGTCCGTCCAGGCGCTCGTCCCTGGGCAGCCGGAAGGTAGCCCGGTAGCACTCATTCTTGGCACGGGCATCCAGGTCTCTGCGGGGACAAAAGGAAAAGGGCAAGAGTGAGACTTCACGTATGGCTTGGGTGTGCTCTGCTCTACAGCCAAGGGTGGTATTTGCGGGCCCAGGACTCCTTTCGTGAGCGGGACCTGACCAGGGACCTCAGAGTTCAATGAAAATGTACCTGAAATGACCGAGTCAGAGGTGGGCTCCTCATACGACAGGGGGATACAAGCGGCATGCCCTTGGAACAGGGCTCCTTTGAGAAAAGCCCAGAGTCCCGTCCCTGCACCCACCCGGCTCAGCCTGAGGATGTGCAGGCTGGACTTGCTGCCCCTTACCCTGGGGAGTGTCCACCTCGACGCTGAAACCCAGACAGGAACGTCCAAGTGGGATTTCGACAGAAATCTGTGGCGACTGTTGCTTCACAAAGGAGTCTTGGTGGTGCTATGGGTCAGGTGCTGGGCAGCTAACTACAAGGTCTGAGCTTCCAACCCACCAACCACATTGAGAGAGGGGAAAAAATAGGGCTATCTGCTCTTGTAAAGTCACACAGTCTTGGAAACCCGGTAAGGGTCACTAGGAGACGGAGCTGCCTCAGCAGCAGTGGGTTGGGGTTTGGTGCGGCGGCTGAGGCAGCAGCCTGGTATCCTGTCCCCACAGCCCCCAAGGGGCCTCCCACCTGCCTCAGGCTACCACAGGCTGACCAAGGCCTGGCCCGGTCATGCATCTGAGGTCACGCTGCTGGACTGCTCACATGTTCTAGCTCTAGGCCTGCTGACTTCTTCTTGGAGAGCTCTCCCTTCTCTCCAGGGAGAGGCCCTTGGGTAGCACAAAGGCGCACCCCGAGGCTAAGGCCTAGAATACGTCTCCAGTGACCACCTGAGGGCAGCCAGGTTGGGATGAGAGCTCCCGGCGCTTGGTGTCACACTGGCTGCAGGACATCGGGGTCACTGAGCCCTGAGGTTGCAGAGCTCTGTAATCAGAGTGCAGGGCTGGGGGAGCCAGTCTGAGGACCAGCCCACTGGCTGCAGGACATCGGGGTCACTGAGCCCTGAGGTTGCAGAGCTCTGTAATCGG